TTTTTTTTACAAACCTTTACAGGCCATCGAACATCAAATGGTATAGTTACGTTATAATTACTTAATAATTGTGTACCAGCGATAACACGTGAATTGTGATGTAGCAATGAGCAATCACGATGATACTTTCGATGTTCAAATCCAACACCAACACAAATGTGAACATACATTTGACAATGACATTCTTGTTCGGGATGATCTAAAAAGAAAAAAAAAAAACATTTTTTTTTAAATTATTATTTAAGATTTAAAAATTATTTATCAATTAATCCTATATTATTAATTAATTATTATTTAAAATTAAAAAGTTAATTATTAAAATGAAATAAATTTATTGCATAAATGTAATGTTTTTAATACATATATTTATCGATTTGATCGAGTTAAAATACTTTTGTATTCTTAACATATATATATGTATATATATATTCTAAACTTTTAAAATTGTTTAAATTAATAATTCGAAAACAAATTTAAACATTTAATTATATTTAAATTATTGATTTTTAAATTATCCGATCACTTCTTTCAAATATTAATTAATATTTAAATTGTTATTTGCAAAAGCTATTACTTGCTGAACAACAAATCCCGTATCCTTGGGTTTTATCAAATTGAAATTCTTTTAATATAAATGTCACAAAACCGGAAGCATCAGCAAGTTTAATCTGAAATAGTATGTTTTATTATCCTGCTATTGTTAAATTGAGACATTTGCATATTTCATTAATTAATTAATGCAAAATTGAGTTTTAGTAAGATGGTAATATATTAAGATTAACATAAATCATGATAAGGGAAATGATAAGCATCATATCTAGGCATAAGTATTGTACCACAGGAATAATATGAATTATATACCACTTCCCTCTTAGCTAATTTCGAATAAGATTAAATTTATTGCTAACTCAATACTTAAATTTAAATTAAATTTATTGCTAAGTTAATGTACAAATTTAAATTAAATGTAATCAATTATTTGCATGGATAATTCGACTACTTTCTAAGTTACTTTTTTTTTTTTAACTTACTTTTAAATTACTTTTTTTTTTAAAACTTACATTGATTCATTTGCATGCATAAAATTATGCATTTATTCATTTCAAATTTGGTAATTTTTCAACTAAAATTAAAATATTTCAAATGTTGAAGGAAAATTTTTTACTTTTGTACAAAATCATAAATTTAACCTTTGACCTTATGAAATATAAATGAAATGATAAGTAGTGTAAAGGGAAGAAAATGTTGTTTTGGTATAATAATAATGCAACTAGGATTAAGTAAAGTATCGGTACTTAAAGGTGTAAAAACATATGTTAAGAAGGATAGTAATGGCACGCGTCACGCGTCATCAAGTATTCATTCATTTTTAATATCCGTTTCCTACAGATAAATGTCATCGGCCATTCGATGGGATGACATCATCTGTTAGTATTACACAATGAGTAAATGAAAAGCTATTTATCTTTGCTTCAAGTATATAATGATGATTCGGCATTAAATAAAGGGATAATTGAAATTATTTCAAAAATAAAATTTTAATTTTAAAATAGATATTTAAAATAGAACTGTAGAATTTCGCTCTCTCTCTTTCTGTCTCATTCTCTTCCTCTCTCTCTTCCTCGCTCTCTCTCTCTCTTTGTCTTAAAATAGAATGATAAAAAAGTTTGAACAAACAATAAATTGGGAAGAAGAAGAGAGAGAGAGAGAGAAGAAGAAAAGAAAAAGGGAAAAGGAAACGATCTTGGTTAATATAAAATATCTCTTCTTTATTTTTTTAAATTTAAAATATCTCTTAAAATAAATAACTTTGGAATAAAATTGGACAAGTTAATTTACATAAGATGTTATTTTATAAATATCTATAATAATATGAAATTAGAAAATAAAATGATTCAAATACAAAAAAAATCTATTAAAAAATTTGATAAATTAATTGATATGATAAAATGATAACAAAATTAAGCAATCATTGATTGAAATATTCATAGTTTACAGAAAAAATTTCAAATTATTTGTTACCTAAACTTAATCGAAAATTGAATTTTTTCTTTTTTTTTCTTTTTTTCAAAAAGCCAAATAAAAACATTAAATAAACTAAAAAAAAAATTATAATAAAATCAAATATATAAATTAATTTTAAGTTGGAAAAAAAAAACTTTTTTTTTTCTTTTGCCATTAATTATCGGTAAAAAAAAGAAAGATTTTAGGAAGGTTGGATTAAGTGGGTAATCATAAAAAGTATGTACCGCTAAGATTAATAGATCAAAGAATAAAAACAAAAAAAAAAATGATACAATAAACGAGAAGTATTTGAATAGATAAGCATAGCGATAACAATAGTAAATTGTTATATAAACATGAATTTTACAACTTTCCATGATTAATCATTGGTTACGGTAATTATTTCAGGAATGATAATACCAATCAAAAAAAGAATCATTTTTTGAAAAATTATTTTTTTCTTTTTAAAATTTAATTGGAAAAGGAAAAATAAATTTTTAAAAATTACAATTATAAAATTGAAATATTTTATTACATATTGAAATTTATAATTGGTTGTGAAAAAAATTTTGAATTTTTTTTTAAATTAATTAATTATTTTGGATAATTTTTTTAATTTAACACTGAAAAATAATGTTGAAAAAATAAAATACAATTGAATGACGAAATTATAAAATCTTATTCTATTGCTAATTAGTTCTTATTATGAATGAATGCTATCGTAAAAACGAAGAGCAGAAGTTAATTTTTTTTTTTTTTTTTAAAAAGACAGTCCTATTTGAAACAAATTTATATATCATGCAGAAAATACTTGAAAATTGACATTTGTTGGATAAAATGGATTGATTGAATGATAAGATACGGTAAAAAGCTTTTGTTGTTGACCATTCTTTCTTCAATAAACCTTTTCTTGTGCTATTTATTTTTTTTTGATCGAATGAAAGTACCATTGAAGTATCATTGAGGTATTTTGAGTTGAAATAGAAAGGTGCACTTTTTTGATTACAAAATAATTTTCTGAATTATATTTGGGTGATCTGTTTCTTTTTCTTTTTTGGGAAAATTCGAAAATTCTAAACTATAATTTATCATATTGATAGAAAAATTGTAAGTGAAAAATTCGGAAAAAATTTTGAATTTAAAATTTCAAAATTGTAAAAAAATTTTGAATTTAAAATTTGAGAATGCTAATTTTACCGGAAAAATTTCAAATGAAATAACAAATGATGATGAATGTTAAGAAATAAGAAACGAATTTCAATAATGTTATAATTTGAAATTTGAGAAAACAAAAATATAAACTAAAGTAATTTTAACAAAAACAAAAAAAAGGAAAAAAACAGGAGTAAAAAAAAAAAGGAAAGAAAGGGGTGTGAAGTGAAATCTTACTAAAATCTAATAATTCATAATTGATTACTGATTTACTTAACTTATCTATTATTATCAGATAAAGTTTTAATTACCAGCAAAATTTGATTGCAAATAGTTATGAAATTGTAAAATAAATAGCAGATAATGTAAAAAGATATAGGAGGGGAGGGGGAGGGGAAAAAAAAACTTACTATATAATTCTTTTTAAGCAAAACTTTTACTTTTATAAAATTTCAATCTTTATTGAAAGAAAAAATTTTTAAATTGTTAATGGATAATATTTGAATTTGCTTAAAATGTTCATTATAATCATCAAGATTGTCCTATTATTTCGAATATAATAACAAATTGAAAAGTTCCTAAACCTGTCATCAAACAAAGTCTACAGACTTTTAATCTTGTCATTATTATTATTTTTTCAGTCATATATTTTCGCTTATCTAATACTTTAAATCAGGTAGATTAAACAGAAACAGAATTATTAATTAATCAATTAACCTATTACAGACTTAGTTCGAATTAACAAATCAAAATTTAAGTATTAAATAAAATCAGATAATACAGTTACATTTTTCGATATTAATTATAATTTATGCTTCAGTTTTTTTTTTGTCTGATATTTAAAACTAATTTTATTTCCGAAATTTAAAAGGAAAAGTAAATAAAACTAATTTTGTTTTCCTTGAATTTCAAATTACAGTTGTTTCTTTTCCCAAATTTTTATCACCCTTGAAGCTATTTCAAATTCAAATTTTCGTCAAATGTACGAACAAAGTTAATCTTAACTAAAAAAACTAAATAATCAGATAATATGATACATCTTTAATCATTATTTTTTCAAAATATTCTAAGCTTATTAACTTGTCCAAAAATCTATACAATTATAAAAAAATAAACAAACTTTTGAAATGTTATAATTACGATAGAAAATGATCTGATACCGTAACCATCCAAACAATTATTGAATAATGATAAATTGTAATAAATGATTAAATGATAAAAGAATGGAAGAGGAAAAATTATACCGTTAAAAATACGAAAGTAATCGAATGAAGAATCCGATAATTATTCGTTAATAACATTTGCAAGCGTTAATTTGATAACAAATAGTCCTGAAATTTTGGAAAAAAAATTAAAATTTAAACAATTTTAGAGGAATGGAAAGGAATAAGCTAAAAATTGTTGGATATTTGGTTGAGGAAGAGGGGGAAAAAAAAGTACCACCTCTTCGTTTTAGATGGTGCTAAACCATGATGATGATAGTGGACCGATACGTCGACGATCATCAACATTTAGCATCGATGACTCCGCCCCGCAGCTGGTGATGTTTTGAAGTGGTACTGTCATCGTTAAGATTTGGAATGATGAAGAGGTGCCACTTATTGTTCCAAAAATTCCTGGATACACTATGATATCAATGTCAAGTGTTGGAACCAGATAGGAGGTTAATTTATTTGATCAATGATTGATTTCATCTTGAAGCATTCTTTTCGTTATAAATACTTTGATGTAAATATATCATCACATAAATAACCTCAATTAATGGCAATCATAATAATGGTAATGGTAAGATTAATAATAATGATAAATAATAGCAATAATAATAATGATGATGATGATAATAATAATAATGATAATAATAATAATAATAATAATAATAATAATAATAATAATAATAATAATAATAATAATAATAATAATAATAATAATAATAATAATAATAATAATAATAATAATAATAATAATAATAATAATAATAATAATAATAATAATAATATATAATATAATATAAT